GCGATTTAATCTTTAATTTAATTAATTGAAAATATCTCTCATACGTGTGGGTATGCTCGAATGAAAACCTAAAATACATAATTCATTGAGAATGTAAATGCGAGCGATACACGGAATGTCACAGTGGAAATAGGCACAAAGGGGCTAAAAGTCCGAGGTGTAAAATGACAATGGACGAGGAGGGTAAACACAAAGCGTAAGTGAGAGAGAATGGCCGAAGAGGAAGTGGCGCGTGAAAGGATGACAAAGAGAGATGGAGCTCCGTGGAGAGTGGTAAAAGATTAATGGTGTCGCAGCCCCGGCTGCTGATTAACTCGGATCCTATCAAAGTACCTCGCGATTCGTTAATCTCTCGATCCACCATCACACCAGGCCCGCCGAACCTGTTGCACCCCCCTTTGGCGAGCGATTACTCCGCTATACAGAAATGTCTTTTTGAGAACGTTCCCATTGTTCTTATTATAAATAGTTAGCCATTGTCAGCTGGAACTCTTGATCTTTCGCTCTGCTACGAGGCAAGTTTCTCCTTGACATTTAAATATGTATTACGTCATATATAATCGTTCGTGAAATTTTTTATTAAATGTTTTTTATAAATGATTTTCCTTCTATTTCATTTTTTTTCTCAACAGTATCGATAATCTTTAAAGGTGAAATGATGACACTATTATAACAATAAGATCGAAAAAAAAGGATAATATAGAGATAAAAAAAAATTATCTCTAATATAATGAAAGACACGCACTGATATCATTAATCTGTAATAGAGATTAAGCTTGAGATATAAAAATATAAATTATACAAAGCAAAATAAAAAGTAATCAAATATTTTGATAGTTTTTTTCAATTTAATATAATATGTTCAGAAAGATATTCTTTTTAAAATCTTTGTAACATGTCTAGAAAATTCTTTTAACCTTTAATGTTTCCTTTTAAAGTACGCATCTCAAATACAAAAGAAAATAGTGAGATTTATTTGGAATGCTAATATTTGCACATTGCATTGATGCGTCAGTAATGCCAAAAGTTTCAGTTTAACTCGTAATCACGACGAAAAAATTGATGTTCAAGACTAGAAGTATGGAGTGCTATTACCATTGTTTGCGCAATAAGTATCAGCGGCGATATAAATCAGCGACATCAACGTCGAGGAACGATGGGCGATCGATACAAGTTTGAATGTAGAGCGAATTCAGACACTTCTCGAATCTTAAGTTTCAAGCACATCGAAGATACTTCAATCAGTAGTAATTAGTCTCATCTAATTATGTACTCACTTCTGTGTCCTTTATCCATAACCGGATCTCTTCTCAGCTTTACCCTCCTCTTCGCGTTTATTCGTGGAGCTGAAAGATGCAAAATATACGACGAGTTTAAAATTTAATGTTAATAACTTTAATAAATCTTAATTAATCATATTCTCTCATTTCTACCCATTAACATATATTCTAAAGAAGTAAATCATGCAGATAGAATAAGATTAAATATAGACTAAGATTAACAAATAAAATATTAAATAAAATAATATGTGAGTACATAAATATCAAGTACATAAAGATAATACCGATAAAAAGGTAATACGTAATACGTAATACGTCTGTAATACATAATTTATTTCTATAAAATTTTCGAAAAAAGAGATTCACTAATAAAATTTATTGTAAATTCTCTCAAAAAATTTCGAAGCTCTCAAAATAAACCTGCAAACTTTATAGAAATAGAAACAGTTGTAATTCACAGTTTTTAATCTAAAAATAAAATTCCTGAAAAATATAGAAAAAAGTATCGGGAAAAAAAATAAACATTTTTTTTCTAACTCAAAATTGAAATAGATACAGATTTTAAATATGCTCGTGGGTAGATAGTAGCTTGGGATATTCACGAGATATAAAACGAATAAAGAGCAGGATGGTCATAAAACTAGTCATGAAATGTTAAGAGATACACGCTGCTCGAGTTACTTTATAACATGACGGATTCGAAAAAAAGGCGGAATTTCTTCTCAACGCTGTTATCAGTTATCAGTTTCGGATTGCTACGATTGCAACGCCCACGCAATACCTATCAGTCCTTTCGCATATATGCAGGTAGAAATCGTTCGGTATCTCTGCAAGGAAACAAGTTTAACTGAAGTTGTTACATTTTATGCGGCAGCGGGAAATCTCTGGTTAATATACGATAAGCTATAAAAGGGCCGCGAAGCGAAGTGAGGTGAATTACGATCGAGATTTTCGAGCGGTTCCTTTTTTATAATGCGCCCCCGACGATTTCTGCTTGATGTAGCATAAAGGCGATTTTGGCACAACCCCGGTTACAACACTTACTACGTTCAAACTCGACACACCACGACGTCTCTCGGAGAGTTAACGATGATCCGCGGAAAAATATTAAATTAAACCCGCCGATCGATGTGATTTAATAAAAAGAGATAAATTTTTAATCGCATAAAACGCCGATAGATTTAAACGCAATAAGGATGAAATAATATTCATTATAATTTCAAATGAAATATTTTATCGTAGATTATTAAAACATGTATTTTATCGGTTTTTTTTTCGTACGTGAACGTAAAGAATAATAAAAATTAAAAATTATAAACGAAGGAAGACATAATTGTAACGCGTTGTAAAGAGTTTGCTTAATTGCACGAACTTTCTGAGTCGGTTTAGTTTTAAATGAAAAACATCGTAGGACACGATTCTGCATGAATTTCATTAGTAGCTTAGCTGCGACGAGCTTGAATGTTGTGCAATTACTTAGCATGGAAAATGCTCGATTATCTTCCTGAAGCACTTTTCACTTTTCCGCGCGCTAGTTTTCCAACTGTATTTCTTATTAACAAATTAATCTGCTATGTTAAATAAATCAGACGTGGTATTGCATTTTCTTAGACTTGAAAAATTTTACAATGCAATCTTACCAACAATAATTTTGTTGTATAATTAATATAATTATTAGTTTTATTTCTATATAGACAGTATTTGTACTTACAAATAATCAGTCTCACAACAAAATGTGACAATGATATACAATAACAAATTCAGTCACGAAACACAATATAAGTTTATACCGTTTCAAAAAGTCATATAAATCTCAATTACGTTATATATAAAATGTTCTTATTTTTTTGTTAAACATTAACGATCAATTTATATTCTTTAATCCGTGTATATTAGTGATTACACGTTTTCGTCACACGTCCTTGTAAATTTCCTTTAATTCACGAGATATCGCGTAGACCTTGTCTCTCTTATACGAGGCGTAAATCAATTATGTGACCCACTAACGATTTCAACAAACGACTCTCTGCAAACTACGTTATATATGTCGTCGTAGCAGCGAGTTTGCACATCATAAAATTACATACAATCACTTTAGCATGAAAGGTACATGTTATCTTCGCACCTTCCGTTTCGTTTCTCCGTTCTCCTCCTCCTCTCTCTCTCTCTCTCTCTCTCTCTCTCTCTCTCTCTCTCTCTCTCTCTCTCTCTCTCTCTCTCTCTCTCGTCGTCGTCGTCGTCGTCGTCGTCGTCGTCGTCGTCGTCGTCGTCGTCGT